CCGAGATACTGGACAGGAGGGACCGGTTTCCAGTAGGGAGAGGCCAATAATCAGCTGGCATAGATTTAATGTAATGGGCAAAAGGAGTCTTGAGGAATGACAGCATCTGAAATTGACATTTGAAAATGACTTAAGGTATGGAAGCCTTCACTGTATTAAAAGAACAATTTGGAAATGTACTTGTGGTACTATAGCATCAGTTCTATGAACCAAAAGCTAAAGATTGGGATAATTACAAGTTGTTGGTTAAACTAGACAATTCATTCAGAAAATGCAAAGTGATGCATTTTGGAGGATCAAATTTAGGTGTGAATTCTACTGTAAATGGCAGAACTCTTAGGAACATTAACATTCAGATGGATCTGGGCGTGCAGGTCCACAGTTCTCTAAAAGTGGCAACACAGGTGGCCAAGGTGATTAACAAGGCATATGGCATACTTGCCTTCATCGGCCAGGGCATGGAGTACAAGATTTAGCAAACCATGCTGCAGCTTTATAAAATTCTTGTTAGGCCACATTTGGAATACTGTGTGCATTTTTGGTTGCCATACTACCGGAAGGACATGGAAGCTTTGGAGAGAGTACAGACTTTCACCAGGATGTTGCCTGGCCATGAGGGCATTGGCTATGAGAAAACGTTAAAAAGACTAGGATTGTTTTCACTGAAAAGACGGCGGCTGAGAGGAGACCTGATAGAGGTCTACAAAGTTATGAGAGGCATAGGTAGGGTGGATAGTCAGAGGCTTTTTCCCAGGGTTGAAGTTTCAATTACATGGGGGTTCAAGGTGAAAGGGGGAAAATGTACAAGGGAGATGTGCGAGGGAAGTTTTTCACACAGAGAGTGGGAGGAGCATGGAATGCATTGCCAGATGAGGTGGTGGGAACGGGCACTTTGGCGAAATTTAAGAGGCACCTGGATGGTTACATGGATAGGGAGGGAATAGAAGGATACAGACCGAATTAGGGCAGAAGGTTTGTTTTTTGGATTAGTTAGGGCATGATGATTGGCACACGCTTGGAGGGCCAAAGGGCCTGTTCCTGTGCTGTTCTTCTCTTTTGTTGTTTTGTTCTTTTAATAAGTGCCTATGATGGTGAGTATAGCATATTTGCACTGACAGGGGATTAGCTAACAAATAGAAAACACAGTTGGGATAAAGGATGAATTTTCATGATGGCAACATGAATTCATGGAGGCCACAGGGAACAATGTTGGGGCCACAATTATTTACAACATATAATTATGACTTGGATGAGGGAAGAGGATTTACTATTGCCAGGTTTGCTTGTGACACAAAAATCATTGGAAAATCACGTAGAGAGGATGACACAAAGAGTCTACAGAGATATAGACAGGTTAAGTAAGTGTGTAACAACTTGGTAGATATGACATAATGTGGGAAAATGTGAGGTTATGTATTTTGGCAGGAAAAACTGAGGATTGAGTGAGTGGGCAAATGCATGGCACATACAGTATAATGTGGATAAATGCAACAATTGATCATTCCTATCCAGTGCAAAGTAGAACAAGAAAGGGATTCAAAACATGGTTTACAAGGGAAATTGGAGATGGTATTACATTGAAGGAAGAAGCAAATTGGTCAGAAAAATAGTCAGAAACAGAGGAATTTATAATGGGGAACAAAGAAATGGCTAACCAAGTAAATACATACTTTGGTTCTGTGTTTAAAAAGGGGGACACAAATAACACACTGGAAATGTTGGAGAATACAAGTTTTAGTGAAAGGGAGGCACTTAAGGAAATCAGTATTACTAGGGAAATGGTGTTGGACAAATTGATGAGATTAAAGGCTAGTAAATCCCCATGTCCTGATAATCTTCATCTCAGAATACTTTCAGAAGTGGCCCTAGAAATAGTGGATAGATTGGCAGTCATCTTCCAAGATTCTATACACTCTGGAGCAGTTCCTACAGATTGGGGGCTATCTAATGAAACCTGTATATTTAAGAAGGGAAGCAGGGAGAAAACTGGGAACTACAGACTGGTAGCCTGATACAGGTAGTGGGGAGAATGTTAGAGTCCATTATAAGAGAGCCCTCATGACAGGCTGATACAAAAGCTGAAGTCACATGGGATCTCTGGTGAACTGGTAAGATGGATACTGGTCTGGCTTAGTCGTAGAAGACAGGGAGAAGCAGTGAAAGGGTAGGAACATAGAACAGTACAGCACAGGAACAAGTTCTTCAGACTACGACATTATGCCGAACATAACAATTAAACTAATCCTTTTTGTCTGCCCATGGTCCATATCCCTCCATTCCTTGCTTATTCATGTACCTATCCAAAAGTGTCTTTAATGCCCCTATCATATCTGCCTCCACCACTATCCTGGCAGTGCATTCCAGGTACCTACCACCCTCTGTCAGATTAGCCATGATTCTACTGAATGGCAGAGCAGGGTCAAGGGCCTCCTGTTCCTATTTCTTATGGTCTTAGGTGAGGTATAATGTGGATAAATGTGAGATTATCCACTTTGGTAGCAAAAACAGGAAGCAAGATTATCATCTGAATTTGGACAGGGGGAGGTGCACACTAGGAGACTAGGTAAGCATGCAGGTGCAGCAAGTGGTGAAGATGGCCAATGGTATACTGGCCTTCACAATGCAAGGATTTGAGTACAGATGCAGAGATATTTTGCTGCAATTACATAGGGCCTTGGTGAAACACAACTGAAGTATTATGTGCAGTTTTAGACTCTGTCTGAGAAAGATGTTCTGGCCATGGATGGAGTACAACAAAGGTTTACCAGACTGACTCCTGGAATGACAAGACTGACATAAGGAGAGGCTGGATAGGTTAGGACTATAATTCACTGGAGTTTAGAAGAATGAGTAGGAATCTCATAGAAACCTATAAAAGTCTAACAAGACTAGACAGGGTAAATGCAGGAAGAATGTTCCCAATGACTAGAAAGATCAGAACCAGTGGTCACAGTGCAAAGATATAGGGTGGCCACATAGGACTGAGATGAGGACAAATTTCTTCACAGTGGTGAGCCTGTGGAATTTTCATCATAGAAAGTGTTTGAGGTCAAAACACTGAATGTTGTCAAGAAAGAGTTAAATATAGTTCATACGGCCAAAGGGATCAAAGGGCATGAGGTAACAACCGGAACAGGGTGCTGAGTTTGATGATCAACCATGACCATATTCAATGACGGAGCAGGCTTAAAAGGTTAAATGGACTATTCCTGTTTCTATTTTCTATGTTTCTATTAAACATTTTCTATGTTGAAATTTGTTAAACAGGCTAGTTGTTGTAAAATTAATGGCATTAGTTTGCAGCTGAAACATCAACAGAATATTCATTTCAGATACTGTTCCGAGCGATAGCCTCTCAGGGGAGTACAACAGCAGCGGCCAGGCCTGTGGCACCACAATGGGCCTGTGATTGGGCAAAGTCTAAGTTTCTGTGGCTGCAATCGAGACCCTGGTACCTGGCTCAAAGACATCTCTGAGTGGTTGCATAAAATTCTTAAGAGGGAGGGTAAGCAGCCAGAAGTTATTGTACATATTGGTACCAATGACATAGGCAGAAAAAGGGATGAGGTCCTGAAGAGTGATTATAGGGAGTGAGGCAGAAGGTTAAAATGCAGGATCTCAAGGGTAGTAATTTCTGAACTAGTTTGTTGACTTGCTCACCGAGCTGGCTTGTTTTTGTTCGGCAAACAAGTCAACAACTTCATCCACAACCTGAGCTACAGATCTTTGCCAAAACTTTAAATTTCTGAACTGGTGCGACGTGTTAGCAGGAGTAGGAGTAGGAGGATTTGGTAGATGAATGCTTGGCTTGAGAGGTGGTGCAGGGGACAGGGATTCAGATTCTTGGATTATTGGGATATCTTCTGGGGTACAGGTGACCTCTACAAGACGGTCGAGTTGCAACTGAACTGGAAGGGGACCAATATCCTGGTGGGGGGATTTGCCAGAGCCACTCGGGAGGGTTTAAACCAGTCTGGCAGGGGGTGGGATCCAAAGCAGTAGGGAGACGAAAGGGAAGGTTGAGAACAGTACAGAAATTAATAAGAGCAAGCTAAATAGTAAAGGCAGTGTTGATAATCCTAGTCCTAGATAGGGCAGGCAAAAGCACAGCAGGAAGTCTGGGTTAAACATTGTTTCAATGCAAGAGGCCTGACACGTAAGGCAAATGAACTTAGGGTATGGATGGGTATGTGGGACTGGGATATTATAGCTATTACAGCAACATGCCTGAGGGAGGGTCAGGACTAGCAGCTCAATATTCTGGGGTACAGATACTATAGGAAAGAAAGAAGGGGAGGCAAAAGAGGAGGAGGAGGAGTTGCATTTTTGATTAGGGAGAACATCACGGCAGTACTGAGGGAAGATACTCTTGAGGATCCGTCCACTAAGTCTATATGGGTAGAACTGAAACGTAAAAAATAGGGGAGATTGCTTTGAAAGCATTTTACTATAGGCCCCTCAAAAGTCAGAGAGAGATTGACAAGGACATATGTAAGGAGATCGCAGATAGCTACAAGAATATTAGGGTTGTAATAGGAGGAGATCTTAACTTTCCTAACATTGCCTCGGACTGCCATTGTGCTAAGGGCTTGGATGGAGAGAAATTTGTTAAGTGTGTTCAGGAAGAACTTCTCATGTAGTATGTAGGTGACCCTACTAGACAAGGGGCAAAACTTGACCTTCTCTTAGGAAATAAAGCAGGAAACGTGATGGAAATATTAATGGGGGAGCATTTTGAGATTAATGGCAATAATTCCTTTGTTTGAAAATAGCTATGGGAAAGGGTAGGCTGGCCCACAAGTTAAAATTTTAAATTGAGACAAGGACAATTTTGATGGTCTTAAACAGGAACTTTCAAAAGTTGATTGGGGGAGGCTGTTTGCAGGCAAAGGAATGTCTGGTAATTGGGAGGCTTTCAAAAGCATGTTAATGAGGTTCAGAGTCAGCATGTTCCTGTTAAAGTGAAAGGTAAGGGTGGCAGGAGTACGACGGAACCCAGGATGACTAGAGTTATTGAGGCCCTGGTCAAGAAAAGGGAGGCATATGACATGTATGGGCAGCTGGGATCAAATGAATTCCTTGTGGAATACAGAGGGTGTCGGAGTACACTTAAGAGAGTGATCAGGAGGGTTAAAAGTGGACACAAGATGGCTTTGCAGATAAGGTAAAGGAGAACAAAGAGATTCTTCTTGTACATGAAGGGCAAAAAAGTAAATAGGGAAAGAATAGAGCCTCTTAAAGATCTTGTGGTTGGTTGGCTCACCGAGCTGGTTCGTTGTTTGACCGCAGACGTTTCATTACCCTGCTGGGTAATATCATCAGTGCAGCCTCAAAGACTCTAGGGACCCACTTAGAAGTGGCTGAGAAATTTTCCTGAATTCTACCAGTGTGAAGATTCTGGGATTGTTCTGTGGAGCTAGAATCTTTCATAAACTCATGCAACAGAAGCCATACAATAGGGCCAAAGCTAAATCACCACAGGCTCAGCCCTGTGTAAACCTGCCCAATTAGGACAGCCATGATGGAACTCAGTCGGGGCTCTTTCACAGGTTATGAACGTTATGGCAAAGGTGAAGATCAAGGTCACAAAGTTTTAAATCTATAAGATACAAGATTTACTCATGGCAGGTTCAAATCTATTCCATAAGGCTAGGCGGGAAGACTCCTTGCTCATTCAAGAAATTTTAGGCAACATTCCCAAACTCTCCAGGTACAGAGTTGTATTCATGGCCTTTCATTTCTACTGTGACTCCACCAAAATCATGCAACATAGCTACCTCACACAGCCCATCCATGGTGGAATCCCACAAAACTTTATCATAAACTTTGTTCCTCTCTTTCATTCCCTCACCTCAGAAATATCCCCTTCCTCAATGATGGAAGAGCCCAGCACACCAGTACAAAAGATAAGGCTGAAGCTTTCACAGCAATCTTCAGCAAGAAGTGCCAAGTAGATGACCCATCTCAGCCTCCTCCAGTTGTCCCCAGAATTACAGACACCGGTCTTCAGCCAACTCGATTCACTCCACGTGATATCAACAGACGGTTGGAGACACTGGATACTGCAAAGGTTATAGGTCCTGACAACATTTCAGCAATAATATTGTCCGGTATTATCCAGCAATAATACTGAAGATTTGTGCTCCAGAACTTGCTGCTGCCCTAGCCAAGCTGTTCTAGTACAGTTACAACACTGGTATCTACCCAACAATGTGGAAAATTTGCCCAAGTATGTCCTGTAATAAAAAGCAGGACAAATCCAACCCGGCCAATTACAGCTCTATTAGTCTACTCTCGATCATCAGTAAAGTGATGTAAGGTGTCATCAACAGTACTATCAAGCAGCATCTGCTCAGTAATAACCTGCTCAGTGACGCCCAGTTTGGGTTCCGCCAGGGCCACTCAGCTCCTTACCTCATTACAGCCTTGGTTCAAGCATGGACAAAACAGGTGAATTACAGAGGTGAGCTGAGAGTGACAGCCCTTGACACCAAGGCTGCATTCGACTGTTTGTGGCATCAAGGAGCCCTAGCAAAACTGGTATCAATGGGTATCGGGGTAAATTTGCTGGTGGTTGGAGTCATACCTGACATGTAGGAAGATGGTCGTGGTTGTTGGAGGTCCATCATCTCAGCTCCAGAACATCTCTGCAGGAGTTCTTCAAGATAGTGTCCTCAGCCCAACAATCTTCAGCTGCTTCATCAGGGACCTTTCCTCCATCATAAGGTCAGAAGTGGGGATGTTCATCGATGATTGCACAAAGTTCAGCACTACTCACAAGTCCTCAGATACTGAAGCAGTCCATGTTCAAATGCAACATAATCTGGACAATGTCCAGGCTTGGGCAGACAAGTGGAAAATAACATGTGGTCCACACAAATGCCAGGCCATGACCATCATGAGTAAGATACAATCTAACTACCACCCCTTGGTATTCATGGTGTTACCATCACTGAATCCCCCACTGTCAACATTCTGGGAGTTACCATTGAGCAGAAACTCAACTGGGCTCACCACATAAACACAGTGGCTACAAGAGCAGGTCAGAAGCTAGGAATACTGCAGCGAGTAACTCACCTCCTGACTCCTCAAAGCCTATCCACCATCCAGTGTGATGAAATACTCTCCACTTGCTTGGATGAGTGCAGTCCCAACAACACTCTAAAAGCTCAACACCATCCAGGACAAAGCAGCCCGCTTGATTGGCACCATATCGACATGCATTCACTCCCTCCACCACCGACGCTCAGTAGCAGCGGTGCGTACTATCTACAAGATACATTGCAGAAATTCACCAAAGATCCTCAGGCAGCACCTTCCATCTAGAAGGACAAGGTCAGCAGATATATGGAAACACCACCTACTTCAAGTTCCCCTCCAAGCCACTCACCATTTAGACTTGGAAATATATTGCTGTTCCTTCACTGTCGCTGAGTCGAAATCCTGGAATTCCCTAATGGCATTGTGGGTCAGCCCACAGCAGGTGGAATGCAGTGGTTCAAGAGGGTAGCTCACCACCAACTTCTCAAGGGCAATTAGGGACGGGCATTAAATGCCAGCGATGGCAACATCCCACAAATGAATAAAAAATCTCCAGTCTAGTACATCCTGCTCGGTTTAAGAGACCATTGAGATTGCTATGGGAAAAAGTGATGCAATTTTCTAACCAGTTATCAGTTGTAACATTGTACATGATTGGAATAGAACGGGTGAGGAAGGCACGGGGGTGGGATGAAAAGAGCAGAATTAATGATTGTGGAAAATAGGGACAAGGGGAGGCAATGGCCTAGTGGTGTTATCGCTGGACTGTTAACCCACAGATCCAGATAATGTCCTGGGGACCTGGGTTCGAATCCCATGGCAAATGGTGGACTTTGAATTCAATAAATATCTGGAATGAAGAGTCTAACGATGACCACGAATCCATCCATTGTCGATTGTTGGAAAACCCATCTGGTTCATTAACGTCCTTTAGGGAAGAAAAATGGCATCCTTACCTGGTCTGGCCTATATGTGACTGCAGGCCCACAGCAATGTGATTGACACTTAACCGCCCTCTGGGCAATTACAGATGGGCAATAAATGCTGCCTGGCCAGCGACACCCTCATCCCATGAATGAATAAAGGAGAAACCATAAGGTCAGGTCAGGAGGGGAAAGGGTGTTGGATGGCTGGTGGAATGTTGGAGGAAAATTGGAATAGATTGGGATAGCTTTGTGAGAGAGAAAATATAGATGGGGGCGGTTGGAGGAGGGATAGATATGAAGTTGTTGGAGGCGAAAGATGGCAGAAGGATGAAGATAGTGGTGGGGGGGAGGCAAGGATCGGGGAGAGGGGTGGGGTTGGGGAGAAGGCGGTCTGGGCGGAGAGGGGAGAAATGGGAAAGGCTGGGGTAGAGAGAAAGTGGTGGGTGAGGAAAGGAAGTGGCAGAGAGAGGGTGGGGAGGGGAGGGGCGTTTGGAATGCCTGAATAACGTTCAAGTGCGGCGCGGGCCGCCTTCCAACGGCCGCTACCGCGTGGCCCCGGCTGCGCGCGCATTCCCACCAAATGCAAAGAAAGAGGCGGGAAATCGGTTTGGTGTCTGTTGTCCGGTCCGGAGGCGAAAGCAGACGATTAGTTGTTTTAATCACAACTTGGAGGTTAGGGTACTGAAATCAGTATTTTTTCTGACTTTAAAAGCCGATTGTATTAATGTGAGAAATATTCCGTACTTTTCTGGTAAATTATTTTAAATTGTTGTAGTGCTGACCCTACAGAAATGTTGCGCTTGTATATATTCATGCGTCTGTGATGGACGGTGGAGTCTAAAGGGGTTCTTTTGCCTCCAAAGATGACAATTTCCAGGAGCAAATGGCGATTAATTCAGAAATAATACGATAAGGCACCAAATTGCAATTCCAAGTCGGCGAATATCTTTTCATATTATTACATATGATGTCATTTTTGTTTGGCATGAGAATTTGCCATTTTGTGTGATATAGTAAAGATCTTATTCTTTATAATTTTATATTCCTAGAGGTACTCCTGCAAAATGGGTTATAACTCATGTGCTATTTCTCAATGTAGATATTTCCCTGTGCAAACAAAAAATACCTCAGCCTGATGCTAAGCTGTACTGACCCCTACAAGTCATTAGTTGGTGGTGAATTTGATGGCATTTGCCACAGCTAATAGTTTTGGAAAGGAGAAAATCCAGATGTTTCATCTTCTAATCGTTGTTTAGTGGTCACAAGTCTGTAAACAATGTGCAACAATAGCATTTTGCTGAATGTCCCCTGCATTGTAACCCAGTTTGCTGGTACAATAAAGTCCTACCGTTTGTGTGTCTGTCCTTTTGTAAATCTGCTTATTTGTGTAATACTGCAGACCTTTTTTTTACTGATTGTAAATCTAATGTTTGCTAATACACAGTTTTAAACAAAAATAAAGAGAGATTATTTCTTGGACTAAAAATGTGGCTACACATACATCACACAGTCCATGACCAGTCTGCTATGTTTGCTACTTGTGAAAATCACTTCATATGTTTCAGGAATACATCTCCCACGAACAGTGGATGTTCATATTCTTAAATGGGTGATCCCCACGGGAGTATTGGCTTTATGAACAGAGGAATAAAGTGCACAAGCAAAAATGTTAGGCAAAATATTTTGCAAATTACTGGTGTGGCCTCAAGTGGATTATTGTATCCATTCCTGGGCATTATGCTTTAAGAGGGAGATCTGAGGAAAAAAATTTTACCCACGGGATGGTCAAAATATAAAACGCACTGCCCGAGAGGTTAGTTGAGGCATGTACTCTCACAATATTTAAGAAGCAGCTGCATAAGCACTTAAAGACCAGGGCATAGTTCGTTAAATCTGAGATAGCTCCCCCAGTTTTGAAATGAGTCCCCAGATGTTAGCAAGAAGAAGTTTGCAGGAGCTACAGGGCTGAATTTGCCGTTAATTTTTCTAATGCGGTAGTCAATGCCAGGTAGCCTGCCCAGTTTAATTCTTTTATTGATACCTTTTAGTGGTTGATACAACTTAATAACTTGTGAGGCACAGTCTGACATATGGAATCATACTCCTGGAATAGTACACAATGTTCCAGATAACTGTCACCCCCGTGTTATATTCAATCCCACTGGCAAAACACCACCAGTATGGTGGTATACAGTTG